GGTACTTAAAGCACGGCAAGAGCAGTGTGAGGCCAGAAGTAAGAGCTCATCACATAATTTCTCCTTACATCACAGCCTTGTGAGGCTCTACTCCCTTCCCTTGCATCTGTGAAATCAGCAGGTCTACTCCAGGGAGTAAGGATTGCCATCTTAGGCCCTTAAATCAGCCTCTCTGTGTTTGAAGAACAAGAGAGAGTCTGTGTTTTCAGGCACTGTATGTAACTGTAGAAGAACTTGCTCAAGAAAGGGAAATAAAAAGAGAATAAAAATGTTCGCATTCTCTCTGAACAAAATGAGCTGTGATCTGCAATTGCCCTTTTAAGAGTTGTGACTTTTTCTTGTTCTCCGGAAAACTTCTGGCAACAGCAGTTGGGCTGCAGCCCCTGCGCCTCTCACCCCAGCACAGAACATGTCGGGGAAGGCAGGCAACATACGGCTTTAATTTGCAAGGGATCATCTACATTTCTTCTGAACAGAAAAGAAAACCAAATCAAATCTCCACATACTCCATCTATCCTGAATAAACAGAATTAAGGAAAAAATGCTGTGCGTATTGGGAGGAAGAGACTCTTTGTAGTTTGCTTTAACTGCACATACCGCTTCTCCTCGTGCCTCTTTAAAACATATAAAATGACTGTAATAGGTGGCTGACTTACACCAGTGCTGGTCAAAAACCACTCTTCATTTCTAGCCCATGCTACCTGGTAGAACATTTGCCTTACAACAGGTATCACTCAGCAGGAATAAATTACCACTTACTTCAGTGGCTAGAGATGCATTTCCATTCTATTTCTCTTATTCCCACAACCCCCAAATACAAATGAAAGTACAGCTTTTAACCTAAATTGACAATTTCAAACTAATATAATGAATTAATAAAAGGCATATAGAAAGGCACCTGGGATGAATTTGAGGGTAAGGTGACCTGAGCCACCCAATGGTAACAGAATTACTTGGTACCTTGTCAAATGCTTGTTTATAACAACTGCCTCTGCAGTGAGATTACTTTCTAAGCACTTGGCTGTACTGCCTTGAGACCCTTCAATGCAGAAAGTACTCTGGCTGCTGACTGCACCACCACCTATGGTTCATGTTCAGCTCCTACTGATTTTCTTTGCCAATCACTGCACGCATTTGTTATTTTTGTCAGCACAGGCATACTTCCAAGAATCTTCTAGATGTTCCAAGAAACAGTCAGTGTCCAAGGCAGGCTTTTACATTTTAAGGATTTTGTTTTTCTGTCAAGACTAGGTCTGTGAGATGCTATGGCCTGTGGCCCTGGGGCAGATGGCTATGTCACTGGCATGCTGCAAAACAAAAAATACCTTACCATGCCACTGTAAAAGCTACTTCGGAGTCTTGTCCAGGTACTTCTCCAGAATTTTGTTTTGTAGACCTCTGTGTCTCAATGTCTTTTGTAGACCTCTCTCTCAACTTCTAGGGTCAAACACTTTAGTTTAAGGAGTGTGTATTATCTGCATTAATGATTTTATCATCAGAAATATATTGTAGTTTTAATATGGCAATGTAAGGGTGTGACTTATTTCATCTTACAATTTGAGATGTATGATACTGTAATCATCTCTCCTTCATTTCACTGCATTTACAATCTTGCTACTGATTATTCAGCAAATGCCCCTGGTTGTGCATCATGAGGACTTGATGTGTTCTGCCAGTACGCAGATTGAAATGAGACCAATCTGCCAGTACGCAGATTGAAATGAGCTGTGCACATGCACTGCCTCATTTGGAAACTCCAAGAGACTTCACGAATCTAGTATAGACATTGCTGCTGCCCATCATACATTACAAATTTTAATCTCTACCCAGATCTCAAAAATCCTTTCTTTCCACACAGAACTAATGCCCCTGCACCAAAAAGTATTAACTTTTCTAATCAGCGAAGATCCATGTTCAATATGAGGCAAAAATCAACTTTTAACTTTTGGTCACACAAACTTTTCTTTGGGTTAGAATCGTCTTTCAGTTAAGAGAAATTGTTTACCATTTGCTAAGATACTCCTTAAATAAGCCATCCATCTCTGAAAGAAAGAAGGTGGTAGCTTTAGAATAGAGAAGACATTAATGATGTGAAGGATGGGAGAAAGATTGGCATTTATGAGCTAAGTAAAAAGGAGAGACAAGTACCTTACAGTCTGTTGATTTGAAGAGAGGAAAGCGGAAGACGTGGTGGTGAGTGAAAGCAGAAAGAAATTACAGTGTACTGGCAGACCAGCATCTCTGCTGAGTCCCCAGTTTTGGGTGTTTGGCAGAGTTAGGAAACCTAGTTACCATATACACTTCTGTGGGACAAGATCTGTAGTTTTCCTTAAGGATCAGGTCTGAAAGAGGAGAGGGAGAATGTCCTGTTTTGTGAGAAAGAGTCCCTCACCAACAGAGGTGTGTTTGGAATATGAAGATAGTCTCTGGGAGTTCATGCTGGAGCTGAGTAGTCATTTTCAGCACCAAAACTACAAGGAATACAGCCGTGCACAGGATAAAGTACATTGTAGCCCTGGAACATCAAATGTAAGACCAAAGTATGATGGTGATTTGATGGCAGAGAGTGTTCATTGCCGTAGTAGTTGACAGGCATCAACACATCTTAGATTTCTTGCTCAGGCACAGTTTAAATTTATCTAGTGTTTTGGACCACAGAGGATTAAGCTCTAATGATGAGTTTTGTGGTTTGGGGTGTTTGAAATGTAGGACAAGTGCTTCTGGGAAGACTCTTTTCCACACAGGATTTTGTTCTGTTATGTGAAAAATCATTAAACAGTTAAAACTAGCAAGTCCTAGGAACTTTTCTGAACTTACCAGCTCCCAGCCTTCCCACAACACCCCCTCCATTCCCACTTCCACTTTTTCTTACTGAGCTGGTCTTACTGTTACATCTGAACTCACAGCAGTTCTGAAGTTGCATTTAGCTTTTAGATAATTACTGTATTTAGATAGTTACTGCTTCAGAACAAAAATATAGCTTGTAATTCCAGAAATGTGTCTGCTTTTCCTTCTATACCAACTGGTGTGAAAAAATCCGTTACCTACATGTACAAACCTTTCCTCTATACAATCCTCTTTCCACTAGAACCATCTTCTAGCTTGTTGCAGACAGCAACTTAGAACAGCAACTTCTCAGTGTTTTTTCAGTCTGAGAAGTGCTTCCTAAATATTTCAAATGCAGACCCCCATAGACAGAATTCCAACCGATGATGGAAGTAGGCATCTTAATTACCTTTCCTGGATTGAGTGATGTGTCCCCAGGTCTGAAGAGGATAGGCAGAAAGCCAAGGAGGTTTTCCAAGACTAGTCAGAAATTCACACTCATTTTTTATGAGAAAGAGCATGTTTAATACTTGTTCCTATCTAAAGATCCAGTGTTCAATCATCTTAGGATGAATAGGGAAACAATACTGCCATTTAGGGCTGGATATAAATTAGGTTTTGTGCTAGAAAAGAGTTACTAATTTTAATTACTGAATGTAGATCTGAAGAGAAAAATCTGTAGCTTAAAACTATAAATACAATATTCAAGGAATCAAACTTTTTTCAGCAGAAGATGGAAAAAGATATTTGTGTGTATCATAACTACAGTCCTCTGAGAAGAGTTTTTGACAGAACTCAATGAACCTCAGTAAACAAGGACATCAGCAATCAACATATTTAAGGATGTGCAATTTCTAAATATGATCCCGCTCCTGCAGTTGTTACACAGCACAGATTTTGCTATTAATTAGTTTGAATGTGGGACAGTACTACAGGAAGAAAGAAAGTGGCCTAAATAGCATGGTCCAAATTTTATCTATAGCTATCCAAGAAATATGGATGTCTTCTATTAACCCTTGCCACCTGTGACAGCTAGAAATAACTGCTGGACGTCTTACTCCTAATGGATTTTTGCAGCTCATTAATATGTAAGGCAGAAAGGTGAGCGCATGGTACAGAGAAGGAAGACAGCTGGCCAGAGAAGTTCCATGGCTGGTTCAGCTCTGAATGGCAAAATTAACCTTCGGACAAATACAAGGACATTCATATACATGGCTTGGTTACTGAATGGAGAACGGGGTAGGGTTCTTCTCCTCTCCAGGAGCAGTTTATTGCTCTCTTTCAATTACAGATTACAGTAAATCCCCCATTCAGCCTCCATCATTTCTCTGGACTACACTTTTCAGCAGAGCCAACAGGACCTCCATTCTGTTTGCGCAAAGGGGCTTTGGAGGTGCAGAAATGGACACTGCTGGCAGGCACTCTATGCCCAATTCACTCCCTACCCGGAATATAGCAAAATTTTCAAAAACCTGATAGGAGGTATTGCAAGTCACGGAGCATTCATCTTGAATTACTCTGGAATAGCTGACCACTAGGCAGAAGGAGGAAGGGGAATGGGAAAATCCTGCTGGGATTATTTTCGTATCTCAGGCTGCTGCTGTGGACACGATGGAAGGCGCAGATAACGCAGTGGCAACAGCTCGGTAGCGAGATACTTGAAGTGTCTCTGGGGGGAGACGAGTTTTGGCCACTCGCACATCACGGCGGTGTATGTACGATGTGCACATCGTGGTCTGTGCCCGCATGCTGCCGCCGTTCCTGCCCGCGCCCCAAGTGACCGCAATAAACCCGTCTCCCCCATTTCAGCCCTCCACAGACACCCTGACTGCTCACTGCTCCCCGGAGCAGAGCCCTGACAGCGGCGCGGCCTCCCCCCACCAACCCTGCCCTTCGCTGCGTGCCAAATATCGGTCTTCCCGCCGGGATTAGCCCGCCTGCCCTCGGGGGAGGTGCCGGGACCCAGCCCCATCGGGGTGCGCCATTCAACGGCCTCAACAATCGTCATCACCGGGACACCCAAAAACACTCCCAGAGCGGCCGGGACCGACGCGGTGCGGCCCCGTCCCCCGCTCTCCCCCCTGGCAGGGGCCCTTCCCCCGCCGCCTTTGTGCGCGGCGCGGGGCAGCCCCGCGCCCGCCTGCGCCCGCCCCCGGGTGAGGCGTTGGGAGACGGTCCCTTACGCAGAAAAGTTCGGCGTCGGTTTCAAGGCTCCTCCCTCCGGTGAAGGCAGACTGCGGGGCGCCTGGAAACCGGTCGGAGGGAGCGCGGCGCGGCGAGGCAAGGGGCGCGGGCTCGAGGGGCCGGCACAAATGGTCAGGCGGCGGCGGCGGCGGAGGCGACGGCGGTAGTCGGAGGCGCGGTGGTCGGAGGCGCGGTGGTCGCTGCCGCCGGTGCGGGGAGAGCTGCGCGCCGCGGCCGCGCGAGTGGCGGCCGGAGCTGCCCCGTCCCTGCCCGCCGCTCCCTTCATGAGTCGCAAGTTCGGGCCGGGAGGAGCAGCGGCGGCGGCGGCGGCAGTGCGGCGGGAGCCCGGCAGAGCAGGCGGCACCGACTGAGCATGGCCGAGCGGCGCGGGCCGGCGGCGAGCGGCGGCGGGGAAGTTGGCGGCGGCCGGTGCCCGCGGCTGCCTCTGCTGCTGGTGCTGCTCTGGGCGGCGGCGCTGCCGGCCGGGGGGCAGTCCAACGGCGAGCGGGGCATCTCCATTCCGGACCACGGCTACTGCCAGCCCATCTCCATCCCGCTCTGCACTGACATCGCCTACAACCAGACCATCATGCCCAACCTGCTGGGCCACACCAACCAGGAGGACGCGGGGCTGGAGGTGCACCAGTTCTACCCGCTGGTGAAGGTGCAGTGTTCGGCCGAGCTCAAGTTCTTCCTCTGCTCCATGTACGCGCCAGTGTGTACCGTGCTGGAGCAGGCCCTGCCGCCCTGCCGCTCTCTCTGCGAGCGGGCCCGACAGGGTTGCGAGGCCCTCATGAACAAGTTCGGCTTCCAGTGGCCCGACACGCTGCGCTGCGAAAAGTTCCCAGTGCACGGGGCCGGCGAGCTGTGCGTGGGGCAGAATGCCTCCGAGCGCGGCACCCCCACGCCCGCCCTGCGCCCCGAGAGCTGGACCAGCAACCCCCACCGCGGGGGCGCCGGCGGCGGCCCTGGGGGCCCGGGGCCCGGCGAGCCCCGCGGGCGCTTCACCTGCCCGCGGGCGCTGAAAGTGCCCTCCTACCTGAACTACCGCTTCCTGGGGGAGAAGGACTGCGGGGCGCCCTGCGAGCCCGGCCGCCTCTACGGGCTCATGTACTTCGGGCCCGAGGAGCTGCGCTTCTCCCGCACCTGGATCGGCATCTGGTCGGTGCTCTGCTGTGCCTCCACCCTCTTCACCGTCCTCACCTACCTGGTGGACATGAAGCGGTTCAGCTACCCTGAGCGGCCCATCATCTTCCTCTCGGGCTGCTACACGGCGGTGGCCGTGGCCTACATCGCCGGCTTCCTCCTGGAGGAGAGGGTGGTCTGCAACGAGCGCTTTGCTGAGGACGGCTCCCGCACCGTGGCACAGGGCACGAAGCGGGAGGGCTGCACCATCCTCTTCATGATGCTCTATTTCTTTGGCATGGCCAGCTCCATCTGGTGGGTCATCCTCTCCCTCACCTGGTTCCTTGCTGCCGGCATGAAGTGGGGCCACGAGGCCATTGAGGCCAACTCCCAGTACTTTCACCTGGCTGCTTGGGCCGTGCCGGCCATCAAGACCATCACCATCCTGGCCCTGGGACAAGTGGATGGGGACGTTCTGAGCGGTGTCTGCTTTGTGGGCATCAACAACGTGGATGCCCTGCGGGGCTTCGTGCTGGCCCCCTTGTTCGTCTACCTGTTCATCGGCACCTCTTTTCTGCTGGCTGGCTTTGTGTCCCTCTTCAGGATCCGGACCATCATGAAGCACGACGGCACCAAGACAGAAAAGCTGGAGAAGCTCATGGTGAGGATAGGCATCTTCAGCGTCCTCTACACGGTGCCGGCCACCATCGTCATTGCCTGCTATTTTTACGAGCAAGCTTTTAGGGAACAGTGGGAGAGGAGCTGGGTCACACAGAGTTGTAAGAGCTATGCCATTCCCTGCCCCAACAACCATAGCAGCCACCACCCACCCATGAGCCCCGACTTCACTGTCTTCATGATCAAGTATCTCATGACTTTAATTGTGGGTATCACCTCGGGCTTCTGGATCTGGTCTGGGAAAACCCTGAACTCCTGGAGGAAGTTTTACACCAGGCTCACCAACAGCAAGCAGGGTGAGACGACCGTCTGAGACTCCTGCCTGCCGGGCCAGGGGGATGTGGGCGGCCAAAGGACCGAGGTTCTGCCTCGGGAAGCAGCTCCTTATCCAGCCTGGGCGAACTTTGGGGACCGCAAGTGTCTTCCGCCGGCGGCAGGGAGTGGAGGACGAGCAGGGGGGGACTCCGGGGCCCGGGACCGCCCGGCTCTGCCCTACCCGCGCTGCTCGGGTTGTCTCCTGAAGGAGCTGAACGCATTGTCAGGTTGGGGGAGAGGGATGTAAATAGCCTCTGTAAGATTTTGTAAGTATATTTGTATTTAAATTACAAAAAAACCTCACTTTTTTAATTATTTAGGACACTTTTAACCCGTTTGCGGATTTTACTTCCTCGCTCCCCCCCTCCCCTTTTTTATTTAAACAAAAAAAGAATTTGGATTTTTATTTCGTGGGGCAGGATGGGAAAAGCTGCCGGTAAGAGAAACGAAAAGAAAAACCTTTTTTCTCCCCCACAGAGGTTTTGTGATGGCTTTGGTTGGAATTTCAGCTGCATGAGCAGCAGGGCCCGGAGCGGGGTTGCGGCTGCGGCGGGGTCGCCCCCTGATCCAGGCTGGGTCCTGATCCCGGCCCCGAGGTGAGGATGGGCAGGAGAGCCGCTTCCCGCCCCGGCCCCGTGTGGAGGAGGACGGACTCTATTCCGTCCCCGTACGGGGAGAACGTGGAGATGCCTGGCCATGGCGCAGGGACGGCGCTGCGCCGAGCCCGGCCCCGCTGACCCCGCCGGGCCCTCCTCGGGGTGTGCCATCATCCAGCCCTGCCCGGAGCGCGACCGCTCTGTGGGGGGGAACCCTGGCGGTGCCCGCGGCTGGGCCGTCTGCGGGGCCCCACACGGCTCAGGAGGAGTTGGCCCCGTTTCTTGTAGGAGTTTGGGTTCAGCACCGCCTGCACCTGTAGCACGTCCGATGGCGCCGGAGGTGGCTGGGGACAGAAGGACACCGAAATTCTCTCGTGCTGTGTTTTTTAAGCCTACTTTGAGGTCCGGGGGAGCCCCGCGGGAGCTCCCTCTGCCGCCTGCCGCGGTCCCTCCCCGCCGGGCCGCGGCCGGCTGGGGTCAGCAGGATCAGGAAATGCGGGCTCGGTGAAAAGAGCTCCGTCGGAATAAAACGCAGCGTTCAGTTTGAGGCTTTTGTTGGTACACCCCTCCCCTCCCCCCCAATTATATTGATACACCGGCTCTTCATATGGGAAACATTGGAGCTGCTGCCATTCCTCTGAATTTTAATTCATTAAGATTGAATTCATTACACATAATGAGGGTGTGATGATTTTTGCCAGTAGTAGAAACGATCGAAGGAAAAACAGAAAACCAGAATGTGTAAGCACTCTGGTGAGATGAGAGACTTGAAAGAATATCTACTTTCTTTCCCCCCTCTTTCTCGGTCCAGTAATAACATTGCATACTGCAAGGATAAGATACCATGCGTGCAGTATACTACCTTATATGCTCCTGAGTGTGTGGGATTGTGCTTCTAATACATAAAAAAAGTTAAAGATTAAATTGTAACTTTCGACAGATGCATTTGAATATATAGACCTCTGTATGAAAAACAGCAGAATGCTTCTCTCCTGATTGTATTGTTTTAAACTTTTTTTAATATTACAAATGCCTGTATTTAGGTTCATAAACATTATCTATGGCTACCATACCCTGAAATGCAAAATTATTTTAATTTGGTATGCATTTATTTCTGTTCATTATCACAAGATCATCTATATTTATAGAGGAATAGAAATTTATATATATTAAATACCATATTTTTAATTTCTCTGAAATAAATTGAGGTTTTGTACAAAACTATCTTGTCCCTTATGTATTCCTCTGATGAACTCAAATACTGTGTGAAAACAGTGTATATACTACAAGATATGTGGGATTCCGCTTCTCTTATGTTGAGTTCACACTAACAAGCTGGAATTCAGTGTAAGAATTCATTGTGCGTTTTGTTTTTTATTTCTGGGCCAGTCTAGATTAATCGTTCAGAAGAAGTAACGTAAACTGTCCAGGATCTCTGACAGAGTACGGTCAGTGGTATGAAATCCAAGAAGAGATCTGCTACATGGCAGGAGAAGAAAGAAGCTCTCCAGTTCTTTTTCTTTTTTAAGTGTTTTTTTTTTTGGTTGCAGAAAAGGGTTCTCTCAACTTAGCCTTTCTTCTCCCTTTCCTATTAAAATACCAAAAAAAAAAAAAAATCCCTTTAAATGATATTCTGCTTAAAATGACACTCAGACTATGTTACAATATAGTCAGAACATTTTAATGAGTAAAATAGTTTTGTTCTCTTGAATTTTGAATGTTTGGTTAACCCAGAGTTAAGCAATAGTTTAACTGGACAGTTTAAATGGAAGCATTTCAGATCTATGGAAAGTACAAACATTCTTTAATCTTTCAACACAACACATTCCTTTTTTTTTTTCTTTTTATTTTTCTGTAATTCATTCTTCAAAGTGCCATTCTGTAAGTATGGGTTAGGAAAGACTGAAAGACTGATTTTTTAGTGTTATGAGCTAGTAAAGTATTTCATTATGTAGATTTGGATGCAGATGTAAATGATTTTTGGCTTGTTTATTTTTTTCAAATCATGATGCATAAACAAACAGAGGTAAGTAAAGGAAGCATAGCAGAATTTCTTTAAGGTGAGGCAAGGGGGCAGGGTTTTCCCAGTATTTAAAAATTTGTTTTACATAATCATAGTTCTTGCTTTCTCAGATATTTGGACATTCTTCTCAATATTTTTCCCCCTTTTTTTTTGGGGGGGGGGTATGGATATTTTACCATTTAAAATTGTGCTAATCATCACTTTGCTGATGACCTGAAGTACAAGCCAGTCACTTTCAGTTGCAGTGGAATTCTTTTTGGTCAGTGTATTATTACATTTCAGCCGTTTTGACCAATCTGTTTTCTTGCAACAAAATGTATGTGATATATTTATGCGTGGGAGAACATAGGTATTTGTAACAAGAGATCTTGTATTTATGGATTTGGATGGGAGAATCAAATTTTAAAAAATAATTCTCAAAAAGGAATGATTGAATTTTTTCTACAAAAGGTCAAACTCCAGTATTTACAGTTCATTATTTGCAGCACATATGAATCTCCGTCAGTTCTTTGGAATTTTTTTTTTCCTATGTTGCAGAGCCGAAGCTCTGTGTTCAGTCTTGGTTATTTTAATAAATATACTAGAGAGCACAATATGATCATAGATCAGTTGAAAGAGCACCCCCTGCTTTTTTGTTTGCTAATTTTTGTGGCCCTTCACAGGGCAGTAATTTGCAAAGGTCACAATCATTACTGAATGCTCTGGTGCTATCTGTATGACTCACCTACCTTTTCACACTTTCCTTTCTCATCGCATAATGGTATTTCAGATGCTTTATTAATACAATACAGAGGTGGGCTTTGCATGGGTATATAGTAGTTATCAGTAATGTTTTACCTCACTGTTAAAAACAAATCTATCCATTGCTTCGGGGAGTTCAGATAGGATTTTTTACAACGTTGTCTGGGTAATTGATGTGCTATGTTTACCAGAGAAAGAATCACTGTATGCAAAGAAGCGGTTTTGCCCACTTCTCCTGTTCCTGACAAGAAAGTTAATATAAGAATAAAACTGGTATAACAAAGTTTGTTGGGCTGAAGTTCTAGTTAAGGCATTCCATAGTCAGCAACTTCGCTTTCTCTCATGGGATATATTTATAGCCTGAAATGAAGGGGCAGTCAGAATCACCATTCCCCTGAAGAGGGCTGTAGCCTGAAGAGCTGGGGATGTTGATTTACTGTTCATCCTTCAGTAACAGTAATGCTCTTTAATGTAGTGGCAAATTTGTGGTATTGGAATGAAATTATATGCTGTTTCCATAACAAATCCTATTGGGAAGGAGAAGGATTTCTGGCTTGTTCATATAGTAATGCCCAGAATTTCCGGTATATGTGTATACTTTTGCGCGTTATTGTTGTGTTTAGCTTTGGTTTTGTTTTTTGTTTGTTTGTTTGTTTAATAGAGAGGCAAGGCTGCAATCTAGTGGGCCTGAATGCTGCCTTCTGGACAATGCCCACAATTCCACTGCCATCCCATTGCTTGTTGTTGGGCATAAGTGCAATTACAGGTGGTGTTGAGGATCCCTTTCATTTAAAGGAACAATATTTGCACTTAAAAAAAAATATTATTCAAAGGGATGATAATTATGCATGAGAAGAGGCTGCTGTATATTTACAGGATGCATATTTTTCAGAGTAGGCTATGGACTAGTATCTCATGAGGCTTTTGCCAGTCCTAGTCACAAGAGACAACTTCCAGACACGATGATCGTTTTGAATGGGTGTGCACCCTGAAGCTGACCAGAGAAAGTAATCATGGTTTGGCATGACTTGTGTAGTTTAAAATTATTGAGGGTACTCTTGCAAAAAGTTTACATTTGTGTGACATGACTCTTCCACCCCAGTGCTGCATGGCCTCAGAAAGAGTTTCAGCAAGCAAAACTCAGGACAGCTGAAACGGTGATAAATTAGAGTTTAAATGCTGACCTATAAAAATAAGGAAACTGAGGTAAGGCTCTGTTTTCATCACAAATTTACCCTCTAGTGCTCAGGCACTGGAATTGCGTTATATTTGACAGATCTTTCCAATGACAACACCACAAGACTGTGGCAATACTGTGCAAAATCAGTTATGAATATCAACCCCTTCCCCCTTTTTAATTCTGGATTTTTATTAGTTGTTGTTTACACTTGCTGGACTCAGAGCATCATTGCTCTGCCCCTTGTGCAAACTTGGAGTGAATGGATCATAGGGATTCCGAATTCAAATATTTATTAAAAAATGCAAGTGCATTACATGCTTGGTCCCATTAGAAGAGCTGGTTGCTCTTGCGTCCATATCTGTGAGAGTTTTTTGTATTTGTAAGTTTCTTGCCTCTATTGTTCATCAGTTGAGCTGGAAGGCTCAGGCAATGATTCACACTCATTTGGAGAGGGCGAACTTTGTTTTTCTTGCCTTGAACTGCCCCCCTTGCTGTTTCTGTGCTTAGAGCACACAAGTGTCACCAAAGAAATGCTTTATCCTGAAGTTCCTGATCAATTTTAAAATAACAATACCGTAATTTATAAACAGGTTCGCAGGTTTAGGAAGCTGAGGCTTTGGTTTTCACAGTTTATTTTTTAGAAGTCTACAAGAATTTAAAGATGTGAAACAGCTTTTTAGGGTAGCTTGTCAGGATTAGGTCCTGGACATATTGCAAGCATTGTGAGCCCCATATTCATTTGAGAGTAGCCCAGTGGTGGTGTTAAAGCAGACAAGATAGGCCCTATAAGAAAAAAAGAAAGGCATAATTGCATTTATTTGCCAACTGAAATTCACTCTGCACCTTTTGTCATTTGAGGTCACTAAATGGAGAAGGAAATATAATTTCTGTCATATGGGAGAGATTTCAGTGAATTAGCAAAATAGGCCTTAATAAGCAGTATGTAATTGCAAGTGCAATTACAAAGCAATACCACTTTGATAGTTCAGTTGTAGACAATGCTTTTCAAAAATTTAAATACTTTAAAACACGCTGATTTTGTAGGCCATGGCAACTGTGTTTCAGATCCCAACTTGTGTTTAGTCTAAACTTCCAGTGTAACCACATCAGAGTCTTCCAGGCATGAGGTCGTGCCCTTGTTTGCATTCAAATCGGCAGCATTAAGTATTAAGCTTATCTTGAGTTTGAGTAAATAAACTCTAGCTTTCTACTCAGGCAACACTTAATGAAGACCACATTCAGCCACCAACCTC